TCATGTGACACGCAGCAGCCACGATAGCACTGTATAACTGATATAGCCTTATGTTTTTTTTTTTCATTTTTATTCAAAATATTCTCAAACGTGTTAACTATATCATGGAATATCTCGATTCTCACATTTGTGTAAGAAAATGCATTTTGCACCTTTATATATTATGTTAGTTGATCTATAACGGGCGATGGGCAAAGTAGCTTAATAGTGTAATCTATTAACTACGCATAAAAACCCCTCTTTTTACTTAAGTACCAGATATGGGTGTCATGCCATAAAATATTTTTAATACGACTGACTTTGTATTTAACGTGAATTTAATAAAAACATTGTAAGTTACTAATTATAACACTTTCATTGTACAGACAGAGAGCAAAAAAATACATTTTCAAAGAACATTTTCACTGACTTCTGTCAAGCTGAGTTCAAACAAAAACTCCTAATATAATCACTGAAGCTGTTTACACTGTGAAATGAATATCTTACTTACATTGTACACACATCTGCACTTTGCTGTTTCTGATGAGAGAATTCAGTCAGCGAGCGCGCTCAGTGAACAAAACCCCGGCATTTCAGCGATGACTCATCTGAACGCCTCTGACTGGCCATTGCATTCATAAGCTCAACAAAATCGTGCGTGATATGTTATAATGCGCAGCGCTGTAAAAACACGTCTGTCTCTGGCTCAGCAAACGCAGATTTGAATGTAGCAGCTGGTGATGTGCCGCACTGAACGATCTAATCACACTGGTGTAATTGTATCAAATATAAAAATATTATTTGGCTATTTTTTGTCTTGTGGAAGCTGCATTCAAAATCTGCTTGGCTCAAAAATCTGAGGGGGCACGTGCCGTTTGTATGACGCCTCTGCCCTAAACGAACAGTGCATAAAGGTTAAGGATTGCCTGACCCTTTCCACTTTGTTGAATTTTTGAAGGAGAGAAGTGTTAGTCCTTATTTAATACTGTGGAATAAGTAGTGATAAAATTAATAACTGAGCATGCTGTGTAGCTGCATCTTGAAACTTCAGAGAAATAACAATAGGAAAGGAAACACGCATTTGTAGATTGGCATACTTAAAACATACATGCACACAAGAATATTATAATGCCTGTACGGATATAAACATATTCAGGCTGCAACCCAAATATAGACCTTAAATGGAATTTGATGTGCATGTAAATATAGTCAATATTTCTCTTAACTTTTGTCTCGTTGTACTGAGCTCATCGTAATGCATTCTGGGATTAGAATTCTAAGTGTAGGATATAAATGTGATGCTTCCTTGGATATTTCCGAGCGCATAATGAAAGCATACTTTTTTCTGCAAAACTTTTTGAACAGCCAACTGGAAACCTAGTGAGGAGACTAGGTTTTGTAATAGTGCAATTATTTTGAAACACCACTGCACAAACTGAATTGACATTCTAAAAAGTTTTTGAAGTTTATTTTGAGTGCGTTTACTGACCTCCATTGGTGCCGTGTGCAAGGTGGGGCGGCACAGTGATCTCTCTCCTTTCTAATACACACATGCCCTGCAAACCTTCATCCAGACCGGCGATCAACTTCCCTTGACCTAACGTGACACGTGGGGGTTCTGGGAAATCATCTCTGCAGATAATACATTACTAATGCTTAGAATACTAACAACACCCCCACAATTTTATTGCAATTTTTATTTGACTAAAGTGTGTTCTGCACACCTATCCATTGATAATCTTACTTATACCAAAAAATGTCATGCCGATTTGTGAACCTTAGTTACACCATGTTCGACCATCAATAGTCACCCTTGTTAAATTAATAAATAACCACACATAGTGCAAATGGAGAGCACTTACGAAGAATAGAGATGTGTGGCATCCAGCAGAGAGCAGTTGTAGCGGTACATAATCAGGTCATTTGCAGCACTTGTCAGGTTGCAGTCAGCTGGTTTGTAGATCACTTTGATGTCCACTTGGTCTTTAGGGTTGTGAAAGTCAATGATATGCAGGTCAAAGATGAGCACGGCAGATCCTGGGATCAGCTCACCTGAGAATGCAGAGCAGATGAGAAAAATACAGTCACATCCCTCTCATTCCTCTTTCAAATTCAGTCATCTATAATGTTAAATAGATTAAACACAGTGAACTACTGCATGTACCATGTAAAATATCTTTATGCCTACAATGATAAGTTTTGTAATTTTATAGCCTATCAGATCATTGAAAAAGTTATTGAAACTAAACACAAGAATGCATTCTGTAACATTTCAGCATGCTTATGTTGCATTATGTAAATTAAAAGCTTCCTGTGCTTTTTTCTTCTCTTCTAATTTCCTTCTAATAGTCACCTGATCCATTCTCTCCATAGGCCAGATGAGGCGGCACAGTGACTCGTCTCCACTCACCCACACAGACCCCCTGCAGGGCTTTGTCAATGCCAGCAATCACATAGCCCATGCCAATAAACGTGTTGTAAGTGCTGTTTCGAGAATAACTGAGGATGTTTTTAAAAAATATATATTAAAGTTAGTAAAATATACAAGATTTGATGTGTTAGCAGTCTCGTGAAATATAAATGATCTGCATTTTGCTAATGGCAACACTTCAACACAAACATCTGCAATACACTTCGTTATATGAAATTATCTCTTTTCTGAATGCCAGACTGACCTGGAATCGAAGACAGTGCCGTCTTGAAAGGTTCCATTATAATGGTAGCGTATGAAATCTCCCACCACTGCCCTTCTCCGGCATGGCTGTGGGATCTTTTGAACCTCCACATTCACATCATCCTTCACGTTATACACGTCCACCAGTAACACGTCAAAAACTAGAGTTGCATATGGAGGGACCTTTGTACCTAAGGGTGAAGTTCCTTTAGACTATGCTTCAAACAGATCACATTTTCTGAAATCCAGGATCTCAAAAAAGATTAAAAAATATATTTCACTTCAAAAATATGGTCACACTTTACTTTATGTTTTACACCTTATGAGTTTTATAGCTGTAAATGTATAATAATTTACAGTAAAAATAAATGTAAGGTGTGTATAATAAATGAGTAAATATCAATCAATATCTGTCATATAAATCATGAAAGTAATTAATAATTATACCATATCCTTTGTCATCATAAGCCAGAAATGGTGGGATAATAATCAATCTCCTCTCCCCAACACACATGCCCAGAAGGCCTTCCTCCATGCCTCTGATGAGACTGCCCTGCCCCACATATGTGTCATATGTTGAGTTTCGAAGATGGCTGTGATAAGAATTTACAGGCAAAATAAAATAAAATAAAAATGAATCATTAATTTTTTTTTGTATTATATGGCTTTGCTAATAAATACTTTGCTAGTATTTATGTGCAGCACTTTGGTCAGCTTTGGCTGTTTTTAAATAGAAAATAAATGTGCATGTGTTTAGAAATAAATGTGCCTTACCTTGCCATATAATAATTACATATATACAGTAGTCCCAAAAGTATTCTGACATTTTGAGCCACAATTAAAAATGTAATAAAGTGTTTGCATTATTTAACAAAATATCAAGTGGCATTGGCTTTAAAGAAATATATGCTTTACACTTTTTTAACTTTTATACATTATAAAAGTTTACAGTATAACACAAAGTCAATTCGACTTCAGGCCAGGGATATCAATTTGTCCAGTTAGGTGATTGGATTTTGTTCTCAACGAATTCTGTGACCTGTGCTGGAAAATTTTCAAAAAAGACCTTCAAAATTATGTATTATTTTTTGGAATCGGGCAAAAAATGACTTGAGCTACACCCCTTTGAAGTCAATAGAGTCAGCAAAATCAGTTCTGAGAAAAATCTAGTTAAAGTTTTCTGAAGGTTCAAAAGCAAAATCACCAAGAAATGTTGCATCTTTTCCTCCAAAAACAGTTCAATCAAGAGCAGTGAGTGATTCCCTCTTTTCTTTTATTGTTAGATTAACATTAATGAGAAAGATGGTCTATATATTACAGTAAGGCCTACTGTACTGCACTGATCTAATATGTTACACATGAGATGTTTTTCCCCAACAGTTCCCCAAATGTTCGCTTAAGACAAACTAGATTATGTTTGTGTGAATACTGTAATTCTGTGTATATGTGTTATATATTGGGATTGCGCACCGCCGGAAGAGCCGTTATGTGCGCACTTCGGATGAGAGTCAGTGCGAGCGGAGAAAAGGTACTCCTCTCAAAAAACATACAAATAAAGATAATTTTAGATGTTTAATTACATTGGTATCGCTAGACGAGGGCTTTCACTTAGCTCAGAATTAGCCTGTGCACATTCACACTCATTTTGCCAGCACGGGTTACACACACAATGTATATAAGTAAAGATTTTCAACTTGAATCTTTCATTCATAAAGATCTAATTTATTAATTAAGTGTTCCTTTAATGAGAACAGCACATATAATTAAAAACGAAGACTTTATTTCCCCCCACCAAAATTAGTTTTGTTATTATTTTGGCCTACCTGGAATCAAATAGGTTTCCCACTAACAAAGATCCATTGTAATGATAACGGACAAAGTCTCTGGGCATCACTGTCCTTTTGCAGTTCTGCTGTTTGTGAAGCGTACGAATTTGAACCTTGTCTTCTTTATTCCACAAATCCAGCAAAAGCACATCAAACACCAACGTTGCATCAGGTGGGATTACTAAACCTAGAGAGAAACGCCAGTGCTGAGTCAGATGGGATAACTGAACCTAGAGAAAGTGTGTACTTTTGATAAAAACCAACATGCCCTTTTCTTGTGTGAAAAATGTTAGTAGACTCTACGAACTTACTATATCATGGTCCTAAAATCTCAATAAAGTGTATCAATTAGTGGAATCAAGTGAATATTATTAGAACATTATTAAAGAGGATGGCCACACCTTATGTTTATGATACCATCATGCCAAGTTCAAAACTCTAACACCATAACATTCAGTTCACCATCTGATCACCATCTGTTATCAGTTAGTTTCCATGGTTTTTCATTGAGTTTATTCATTTCATATGAATATGAAATTTAAGCTGTTTCTTTCAATGCATTGTCCGTTGTCGTGTTTTGCTTGTTTGATTCTGTTCATGTTTGCAAGTGTACTGAGTTCTTTGTTAAATAAATTAAATACTGCTGCATTTTAGATTTTTACTCATCATTTATTTCAACCATGCAATGTATCAATTATAATTAATTATTCAAAAAAGACATTTAAGAATGTAGACAGTCATCCAGTGAAACAAAATGATTATTCTTGACATTCTTTTAGGTTTTATGTTTTGTAACCATAAAACAACGTTACCATAATGTTGCAGGGTAGTTATTTTTAAACAACCTAAAATAACAGAATATTCCCTAATAGTTACTTTTAGTTTATTATTTTGCAGCCATAAAATAATGTTCCCAGAACATTGCAGGGTAGTTATTTTTAAATAACCCAAAAATAACGGCTACAAAATGTTCATTAATAGTTATTTTTAGGTTATTATTTTTATAACCATGTAAACTACCCTTACAATTACAAAGTTGCAGATGTTTATGTGTGATGACCTATACAGAGGTCTGAAATTGATTTAATACAGCATTTAATAAAATGTAGAAATTAGATCAATCAAAACACGTTATAATGATCAGATAACTTTATAACTTCAAAATGTATAACAAAAATATTAAAGTGCTCCTATATTGGACTTTTGAAAATTACCTTTCATGCAGTGTGTAATGTGTATGTGAATGTAAAAAAGTCTGCAAAGTTTTAATATATATATATATATATATATATATATATATATATATTACCCCAGTGACTGTCATTGCTGTGTGCAGCTATCTTAAAGAATGTAAGACATTTTAAATAATTATAAGACATTAAACGATTTACCATAATATCATATTTTGAATATGTTCAATAAGTTAATTAATTTCAATTTTCTTTCTGCAGTTTAACTCTGTTTCAACATATTTATTTATCATTATGTGGAACAAATCAGAATTCTCCCACATACCTATGTGATAGAAAGGGTTCTCATTTGGTACATGTTAATGAACAAAAATCCGTATTAGGACAACTGTGAACGCATTAAGATATATTACATTTTTTGTCATCTCTCTCATATTAGAATATGTATTTATTTATTAGGGAAAAAAGACAGTGTTACCAGCTCCCAAGACTCCATATGCAAGGTGAGAAGGTATGGTGATCTTTCTTCGCTCGTTTACACACATGCCCTGAACTCCTTTATCCAAACCTGGAATGACTTTAGATTCCACACCCACCTGCCCCACAAATGGAAAACCCTTATCCAAGCTGAGGGAGAAAGGGAGGAGAGAGAAAAAGAGAAATATACTTTATTCTAATCATTTTTAAAACAAATTA